TTATTACCATTTCCCAACATCCAAAAAAAACAACGCCTGGGGTTCTTCAACCCCTTCAAGCGGGAGCTGTGCTTGTGCTGGGGTCCTGCATCCCCCAGGCTCAAGAGATGATGACAAATCCCCTGGCACGGGCAATGCCTTTCAGCTGAGCCCAAATTTGTTTAGTCTCAGGGGCACAGGGAGCTGAAAGGAGAGCCTGGTTGGCAGGTCTGGTTTAAACAGTGAGACTGGGGCATCCCTCCATACTCCTCTGCAGATAAATCACAGTTCAAAGGAACCCATGCAGTGGCAGCTGGGATATCCGAGCCAGCAGCAGAAGGCAATACGTGCTTCCAACCCATCCCTCACCCCTATAAAAACACACAAACAGCAGCAGAAAGGCCACCACCTGCGAGCCTCAGCCCTGGGTGCACAAAAGGTAGGATTCAATGGGCAGCTGTGGGCACAGGGGGATGAGAATGGGAGGAATGGGCAAAGCCATGGGAGCAGGACTGCAGCTTGCTGGCTCTAATGGTGCTGGGCTATGCCAAAGGGCAGCTTGATGGGTTTAATTTATCGCCATTCCCGCCCTACATAATCACTGAGAAGTGCCACTTTCAGTTTGTATATCTTTCCTTGACATGTATATTTAGCACTCATTAACCACTTACCTTGGGCTAATAATTCAGCTTTTTGTTCCAAACTCTAAATTTCCTCATTTCCGTGAGTTCTTGGAGCCAAAGAGAACATTTCTGACAGATTAATTTCGACTTTGTTTGAAGGCTTACTGCAGCCTTTTGGTTTATTTGAACAAAATTTTCCATGTTTTCCAAAGATTAGTCATTATGAAACCATCTCATTGCTTTAAAGCCCTAAATGGTTCTTACCCCCCTTTCAGCGAAAAGCAAGTTCAGAATGTCAGAAATTGGTTGTTTTTAAGAAGGAAAAAAAAAAAAAAAAAACCAACCAAAAACCCTCATTACATCTGGGTGCTTTAGCCAAGCTTGCAGCAATTAACATCGCTGTTTCTGTCCAAATCCTTTACTGCTCTAATTTATAGGTGCTATCATTGCTTTATTCTAGATTCAATGGCCCAGTGGTTTCTTTTCCATCTATTTAACCTCTGTCAGCACATAAATCCTCAAGAATGATGGGACCTGGAGCGAGTAGCTCTTGCACAACACCTCTGTGCAAACATTAAGTACACTGCAGTGCTTAAGCACACGCTTAAATGTGACTTGAGTGCAATCTTAGCAAGTGTGTCAAACAGATCCAAACTGTGTCAAGCAGAGAGGATTAGGGCTGTTTGCTGGAAAAGAGACTGATGCCGAGGGGCTGAGCACCTTCATGCTTGATTTCCTGCCTATGCAAAAAAGCAACATCAGTGCAACAAGTCAAAGCAAGCACAGGCTGCACCGCAGGGTTTTCCCCATCAGCAGAAGTTGAACTTGGCTCACAGCTGAACCTGAACCAGAACCACCAAGCGTGGGAGATAACAAATATTTTAATTCTTGATTGCAGAGAAACTGGGGAGGTGCCACCAGGAGCCTCTCTGCGTTTCCTCATCCCACCTTGAGGAAATGCTATGGTCAGCAAAAGTCTCCAAGAAGTGTTTCGTGGTCGGGTTTGGGTTGTGTTTTCAGGTTATTGTTTTATTTCCACTGCTCAGCTGTAGAAGGAGACACGTTGCGCATGCACAAGGAATCCTCCACAGGCTGCAGGAAAACAATCAGCAGCCCAGGCTGAGTAGGAAGTGGTTGGAAACCCATCCCAGAAAGCTGAGAAGAGAAGCGTTCAGCTTTGAGGAGGATTTCTCCCTCTGGTGTAGGTTATTGCCATTGGCAAAACCAGGATGGAGGACAAGAAAAGCTGGAAGCGAACACTGGAGAGACCTGGAATTGGGAAAGAGGGAAGAACCAGCCCCCAACCTGTTGCTCTGTTGTAGGACTCACCCTTAGCCTGCATGAAAATCCCCACAACCAGGATCCCATCTGCAAAGCCTGTTTTCAAGTCACACAGCGCTAATTTGTGGTTTTGAGGAGAGACTGTTGGAAAACAGCAGCATGAATCCAAGCCAAAGTTGCTAATTCTGGCTGGTCTTTGCCTTTCTTGGTTCCAATTGAAGCTACATTTTGTTTGAAAACATGGAACTCAGACATAAGGAAAAATGAACTAGATTATGAAGATTTCCATTCTTTAGTATGACCTAATATAACTGAGTTTTGCACAGTGCAAGGACAGGATATTCCCCACCACCACATTTTTGTTGTTGTTGTCGCTTTTTTTTTGGTCTGTTTTGTATGTTTCTTATTCATATTGGGTTGAAGATGTCCCTGAGTGGCAGCCACCTCAACATTTGCATGTAGGCAAATCAAGAGCTGGTTTCCAAACCAGCCCCTATGCAAGGCTGGCTGCTTCTTTGTAGGAGAAATCTCAGCATGTTTACACTTGCAATGGCAGAGCAGAGAAATATGCTTTCTGATTTTTGGAGCTGATAGAGCCCCCGTTGGATGGAATGATTGAGACCCTTGTAAGCTGCAAGATACTTAGGACATCTGGGGAACTCATGCTCATCCCATTTGTGGTGGTAAGCCACTGACTTCTATACAGACTCTTGTGCCTGGTTGCTGGATGCTCCAGATGGTGAGGAGCTCAGCTCAGGGAGGTGGTGGGAAGGTGTCCATGGCGTGACACCTGTTGGCAGTGAGCTGGCAGAGGGACACGAGCTCCATCACAAAACAGAGCACCTGTACACGTTTGTTGGACTCGAGGTTGAGGCTGCATCTGCTCATTGGAAACAGATTTAAGAAGCAGACGAGATGGCAGGAATAAATCTGCTCAGGGAAGGGTCATTTTCCATAACACCTGCTTGTTATTGTCTTCTGCGCAGAGCGGAGTCCTTTTACAACCTTGCATTTGGGGAGCTTGGTTGGGCTGCCAAAAAAAACAGAGGGAATTGCTCTTTTATGAGCCATCCCTTCTCCCCTTTTATGTTGTTAGGAATTTTCCTCTGCGTATCTCTCTCACAAATTCCTTTTAAAAACGTTGCATTCAAGCGAAAGTGATCCATCCCAGTTTGGCTTCTCTCACATCAGCAAGTGGAGCTCTTGGTCTCCTTTTCCCTCTCTATTTTTTAGGGTTTCCAATACATTGGACCAACGGCCTGCAGAAGAAAAAATATCTCAGGTGAGAACTAATTATCGCCATCCATCACCCATTCTGGCTGGAAGGAAATGTTTACTGTGGATTCTACTTGGCCATGGACTTTTGATTAGGAAGTAATAACAAGTGAAGACTTGGGTGAAGTGCTACTGCACTCAGCCAATGCCAACCCTGGGTTAAAGTCTGTCTTCACAGCCACAAGGTCTATAGGTGGGGTAATGGATCAACTTGGCTCTGATTTAAAAGCATAGCCGTGGTGTTGCTGCTATGTCTGAGAGTGCAGTAAACAACGAGCAGAGGAAAACAAGAGCAGCTTGAACGCTTTCCAAGGGAGTGATTTATTTTTTCCCCTTTGGTAAACTCCCCTTTGTCAAAATGAAATCTTTCCAGGAGAGAAATTAGCTTATAAAGATTTTGGTCAAGCCTTGCGTTTGTTTGTTTCCAAATGTCTTTTTAATGAAGTCGTAGAACCATATCAGATTTTGTAAAAGTCAGAATGAAAACAAGATGTATCCATTTTGCCTTAAAAAAAAAGGGCTGGAAGTGAAGGAAGAGTTTATACAGTTCAGTTCTCTGCCCCTGTGTGGGATCAAATATTTTCGGCATACGGATAAAAAGCCAAGAAATGTTAGCATTCCTTCTGCTTCATTTTTATCCTCTTCCTCACTCTGCAGTCTCCCTTTTCACAGTGCTTTGCTACTGCCCATTAAATGCCCTCTGCTGCCTCTGTATTTCAGCTGCCCTGAATTAGAATGGCGCGATTAATTACAAACCTGCACTGGAGCATCCCAATCCCTGGCCCTATTGCAAGGTGCCTTCCTGCAGCTTTCCCCTGCTCCCCAGCCCAGGACAGGCCACATCCTGCCATGACCTTCTTATATCTTGTCCTTCACTCCCTTCCTAACCAAACCTAGGAAGTAATATGTGGCAATGCTGGAAAAAATCTTTTCTGTCTGATTGGCTGTTTAAACCAAACCCACGCCGTTGCTACTATTGGAGCTGGCCAACAATGGCAATTTAATGAAATCCAAACATTTTGGGAAAACGTATCGATTTCACCTACGGTTTCAACAGGAAATTATGGAAACATTTCCATCCCATATAGTCAAAATGTTTCCTTCTGACCATTGCATCGGCTGCTTTCCTACCACAAATATTGCATGCAGAGCAGTTGATGTTCAGATCTGTATCTGATGTGTTTCAATATAAAAGTCAAAAAAAAAAAAAAAAAGAAAGAAAGAAAACCACCCCATTTTGGCTCCACTGGTAATTTGCTCTCGTTTGTACTTGGAAAAAGAAAGACTCATATTCCAATGGCTGCTTCCCTCAAGACAAATGCTTTAGAGAAAGCTTTTTTTCTAACTTTAATGTTCAAAAGCATCGAGGAAATCTGAGTCATTTGCCTGCTTTGAATTGTACAGAATAAATGGGCTTCTCAATCCCCTGGGCTGTTTCAACATCTCAGCCAGAGGCCTCTATTAAAAACCCAGCTAACTCCAGTATGACACTTTCTTGTCCCTGTATCACAGATGGGAAAACAGCCTGGTGGTGACCCGCCAAAGTCACAAGCAATGGGGATGGGGATGGAGCCCAGTCCTTCCCCCACTGCCCATCCAGCCTCAAGTGAAGCTAAACTGGATATTGGGAAGAATTTATTCACAGAACAGGTGCTCAGGTACTGGAACAGGCTGCCCAGGGATGTGGTGGAGTCCCCATCCCTGGAGGTGCTTTGGAGATGTATGGCTTGGTGATGAGGCTCAGTAGACAATTGGACTTGATGGTCTTGCTCCTGGTGGTCAGTGAGCAGAGTTAACCAAGTGCCAAGTGAGAGCTACTAAGATTTTCAGGTTGCAGTGTTATTGCAAATGCCATGGTATGTCCTGTAAAGCCTCACATTTGGAGAACTACAATATACAGTGAAGTCATACTTTAAGGTCTCTTGCCTGTGAGGGCTTGTGCTTTAGCACATTTGTCATGTTATATCCATGCTGGACACCCAGGGATGCTCAGTGGGCTATGAGTCAGCCCAGCATAGCATAGTTCCAAAAGCTCTTTTCTTTTTTATTCTGGCAGATAACCCAGTTGGATTGTGTGGGTAGATTCCCCTAGAAGAATGGTTATTCTAGGGCAGGACTAGAGTCTCATTTTAAATTCCTCCAAATGAGATTATCTGCACAGGAAAAGGTACTTGTGTATCAGCATAAAAGCATCCATATGGGAATTTACACCAAGATATCCAGAAGACAGAGAACTCATATCCTAAATCCATTTAACTGACCCATATGGACATGTACACAGTGGAGGGATGATATCCTGTGCTCCTGTACAACAAATGAAACCATCTGTATTTGAAAAACATTGTCTTCTGATTCCTCTTCCTGTTGCTGGGTGCTTATATCTTTCAAAATAACAGTAATTTCCTACTTGGCAGCTATATTGGACCAATATATGATTCCTGTGTTGTAACTTTCAACTGATTTAGATGTAGATTTTCGTCTTCTCAAGGCTATGGATAGTCTTGTCAAGGCTATCTGTCCCAGCAGGCTATTAGTCCATGGCCTATGGCACCCAGGTAAGTGGGAATATGGAAAGTATCATGGGAAACAATCTGAATGTAGCCAGGATAACAGCTTACAGATAGCAGCAAGGCCACATTTTTAGAGATTCTGGTTAATGCTGTACTCATTGTACACTGGCGAAAACTCAACATCTTGGTTAAGCTTTTCAAGCTTCAGGGCTTTCATCCCAAAGAAACCCAACTGAAATTTAATGTTGTTAGGATTGTGGGTTCTTTTGCTGTTTGCTCCCAAGGGAAAATGGAACTCTCCAAAACAGTTTCCTGCAGAAAAATTCCAAGTCTGCAGAAATTGCTTTTGTCTACCCAAAAGAGCTATTTCAGTGGAGAACTCCTGGCCAGCTCTGAAGCTCAGTTATTTAGGGGCGAGCTTATGTAGAGATGTCAGCTGTGTTGCCAACTATTAGCTAAGTTAGCTGTAGAACTTGATCTCTCACATATTTATCTTTAATAGAAACAGAGCCATCAGTGGCCTGTGGTGGTTATTTGTGTTTCAGATAACTGCCTGCCCTCAGTTTGGGGAAACCATCATTGTTTCCTTATGCCCAAGGAATGACTTCTTTAGAGCAATAGCATCTCCATCTAATAGCTAAATAGCCTTGGTGCACGGCAGTCTCCAGCTAGAAGAAAAGCCAGAGCAAAGCTTCCATCCAAGGCGATGCCAGCCAGATGCAGGGCATCCTGCTATGGCACAGTGTTGGGTTTATCCTTGACCCAAGGAAGGAGGTCCCAGTTCAACTGCCATTGAACGTAAGAAGCTTCTTATGGCTAAAAAGTAACCCTGTGCCAAAACCTGAGAACGTCTTCTGTGCTTTCTGTAGAAGTCTTGGAGCCAGCTCTCTTAGCAAGTCTGGGTCGGGTGCCAAGAAGGCTCTGCTAAAAGAAACCAAGCAGCTCATGAATGATTTGTTTAAACAACAAATGCCCTCCCTGGCATATAGAGCTGTTAGCTTTCCACTCCTTTCCAAGGCTGCTGCTGCATAAATATCCCTAGCACACGGCTCTGCATCATGTTTCCAAGCTCTCTTGCTCGCTCTGTGGCGTCCTGGGGTCTGAACATCCATCCAGGCATCTCTGTCTCTCTTACAGATCCAGGCTTCGGCTCTGCTGGCCAACCCACTTTTGTGGATTTTCACCTTCCTGCTAGAATTATGCTTCTCTAGGAGCTCTCCTAGAGCAAAAAACTCAGTCTAGGAAAACGCTTCCTTTAAGGTTCCTCTTAAAGTTTTGAGGGACCCATGGCTTTCTCGAGGCACTCAGCATTCCCTTGGCTGTGGTGTGCTCCATGTTGCTCTTCTCATGGTTCTCAGTGTTCCCAAAGAGACAGTCCAGGTTAAAATTACCCTTGATGTAATGTCTTGGGGTCTTTTGATGCTGCATATGGAAGGCAGCTGTCAATTAGCAGCTGAAAAAATAGCCTGCAGTGCTAATGAGAGCAAATCTAATAGAGACCTCTTCTAAATTGTTTCCATCCATTTTTCAGGGCTTTTAATTGCTGTCATATTAGAAGGATGCCAGAAGGAAAACACGAGGGAAAAGCCCCATTCAGAGGTAGGTTCCTCTCTGCCAGGACTGGCTCGGAGGCAGCCTTCTTCCCTGAGTTTCATTTACAGGAGCTTCTCAACTCTTTTCTAAAGCTGCATTTAGCCCTGGGTCCTGGCCAGCTCCTGCAATCTCATTTCCCTGGCACTGAGGATGGGAAGAGGGCCCTTGGTTTTGTACCAAGCACTGCAGCCATACCAAAGGCTGGGGATGGATGCTACCTCCCAGCCACCTGCTGTGCTGCATTGTGACTCTTTTATTTTGAAAGGCATGTAGTTAAACAGGGGATATTAGCTACTGGAAAAGCAACAGCAAAATATGCAGTGTTTTTAAATTCTTACCAAATAAAGGCTAATTGTTGGTAAGATGAGGTATCTTGGCCCTACAGCCAAGATGCTGCAGACAGAAAGCAAAAGAAAAACAAGGCAATGAATGAAACACAGAGAGGGCAACACAAACAAGAAAGCAATGTGATCTGTGAAACTATTATAATATAATCTCTCCGTGTACACATACATACAAGCTACCCACTTCAGGCCATGGATATACCCCAGACCTGCTTGGAATTATGTTATATATAATTATGTTGCCCCAAAAGCAACTCCTCTTGGCTTTGCAGTGATGCTTGGCCCACCAGCATGGTCCCAAATAGGAGATAATGCACCAAGCGTGTCTTTAATAACCTCGGGACAAGTAGCAGCTTTGCAAAACAAACTTCCCCCAGCTGCACCCACCTGGACAGCAGCCCACTCAGCTGCATCCCATGCTGGCCTCTCCTTCTGGACCCAGCTTCACAAATCTGGGCCAGATCAGGACAACCCGTCCATGACCCTGATGCGGGGACCTGGGGATTGGGGCAGAGTGGATGATGATGCTCGGCACAGCCAAGGGTCATATCCTGCAGCCTTGGACATCTGGTCTGGGCGTCTCTGCCTGGCTGCCAAGCTCAAGAGCAAAGGGAGAGGGGAGGAGAAAAGCAAACGACCCCGATGCTCCCCAGAACCACCTTTACCCTCTCCTCTGCCCTCTCTGGAGCCTTTTCCAGTGTCCACACACTGCTGACTCTCAGCTCAGGTGTGAAACATCCCCTCTGGAACTCCTGCAGTTATTTCATCACAAATCCTCCCAAGATGAAACCCTTTATCCCCCCCAGATTCCTGGAATACCAAACACTTGGAATGACCTGGAGCATTCCCCTCGTCCATCCATCTATCTGTCCCGCACAGAGCTCACCCAGACCATCTGCAAGGTCGTGATCCCCAGCACTGCTGAAAGCACGTGTATGTGTGTGTGTGTGCATGGGAGATGATGGGTCCAGGCAGCCTGAGTGCCAAGCCAGCCATCTGCTTCACAGAATGCCACATGTGCTCACTGTTTTTAAAAGGGAATGGAGCAAAACAACCCCTCGTGAGATAACGGTTTGCAAAGTCCTCCAAAGTCGGCCCTGAAGAGCTGCAGCTCTCTGGTTGTTGGGGCAGGAAGGTAAATGAGGCAGAAAGCTGCACAGCTGGACACATAAAATGGGGCTGTTTGCAGCTTTCCAGTGGTGCAGGGCAGACATAGCCCAAGATGAGAAGGAAAGACTTTCTTTATACCAAGGAGAAGCAGTAGATATAACTTCAGGGAGAGGGACAGGGCCTGGGGATACCAAGTTGTCACAGTGCCCCCAGCTGCTCTTCATCCAGACCCAGCCTTCCCAAACACCTTCACTCTCAATGCCTTTATGAGCTGGCATAACCCACTGCTTGCTGACACCCAGAGCATGTCTCAGCTGCGACCAGCTCCCTCTAACAGCCCTTCCATGACAGCTCTTCCATGCTGGAAGGTTGCTATCATGCCCCTCTGCCTGCTGTCCTGGCCTGGACTAAACACAACCATCTCTTGTAGATCACGGCTTCCCAGCCTCTTGTCTCCAAGTTGTCCTCATCTGTGTTTTTGCACACTGAGAGGAAGCACGTGGGCTCCTGGCAGGCTTCCTGGGGCCATGACCATCCCATGGCCATGACCATCCCATGGCCATTGCAAGCCCAGACATTCCTGAGACGTCTAGGGGCCTGACACAAGGCAGGAAAATTGCACAATGATTGGGAGAGGCAGAAGCAATGATGCTTTTTCATTTCTACACAAGCACACACCCATTTTCTCACTTTCCCTCTGGGACATTTCCAACCCACGTCTGAATCAGCCCCGGGCTTGGACTAATCCTAACACTCAGCTGCAGACTGAGCTCATAAGGACTTCATAATTTGCTGGCAAGCCTTGAAGAACAGGCAACTGTGTTGGAAACAAGCGAGGCAACACCAGTCCCCTGCAAAAAGAGGGGGAGGCAGATGGGTTGTGAGGCATGGTGAGGGTGGGCTGGGCGACCTACCTCTTGGCCATGCAATTGGGGCATCAGCAGGTCACAGGTGCTAGCCACAATTGCCACCACCTGAGCACGACCTTCTCCAGGAGGTTCCTGCCCCACTCTTGTTTCTCTCTGTTTTGAAAGTCTCCCTTCCTCTGCCTTTTAAAACTATTCTCTGAGCTCTGATATGTGCTCAAGGTCAGCCTCAGGTATTTTCAGAGGTGATGGAGAAGACTGTGAAAAGAACTGCCAGTGGCTTAAGCCCTTGGCAAAAAATATGGTGTGTTGGAGAGATGTCTGCAAGGGGAGTGGGGCTCATGGTGAGATGGCTGTGCTGTGATTTCAGGCACACCGTGTCCATCCCTCCACCCATCCTCCAGGCTGACACCTCCACAGGTGTTAAAGACATCAGCTGGCCACCCTCCTGCTGGTGTTTTTCCATCTGCCTGCTCTTGACAGCTCGTATTTTTCAAGCCGTAGGATGGGTGTGTAGAGCAATAGGGTAGTGCCTGAGGATGGAGGATGGAGGGCAATGAGAGCTGAGTAATCCACAGCTCAGGGAGCAAGTAAACAATTGTTTACAGAGTGGATAGGGCAAGGGGGAATGGATTTAAACTGAAACAGGGGAGGTTTAGGTTGGATATTAGGAGGAAGTTTTTCAGCCAGAGGGTGGTGAGGCACTGGAACAGG